CTGCAGATAGCTTTGCCACTGTTGATTGGATCGCCTACCAAGGGGCTCCCCCTGGAGGTGTGGCCGGGGAGGAAAAGTTTTCTCGATGGTGGACTGGAACTAGTTGTCAGACGGTGACATTGCCAAACGTAGGTGGACGCAAGGGAAATTAAAATTAAAAAAAAAAAAAACAGAAAGGTTAAGAGACGTTCAGAAGGGACTAATGTCATTGGAGAAATTTGGCTTATTATCTGATTAATTTTGTATTGTTACCATCAACCCCTAGGTTACTTTCAGTAATGAATTGGTGCGTTACCTTTTACAGCAGACGAAACAACAACAAATAAAGTTTGTGTAAAATCGTATTAACCGTTAGAACTTGCCAAGATGAATGAAATTCCTAGTTTTGGATTCAAGATGCCATCTAAGATTGGCGGCCAATCTTGCGAAACGATCTCAACCTTATTCCAGTCTTTTTAAAAAGCGGAATGTAGAACGTATTTTGTTTGTTCTCATACATTCTCTAAAAAATTCAAATTCCAACGAAATGAACTGCCACAGAGCCTGAGCTACCTTTGATAAATAAAGTTGTGGGGTAAGTGTTCAGAGTTTACAGACATCTCAATGCCTGCGCATCAAAACGTTTCAACAGTGGTCATGATATTTTTGTTGTTGTTGTTTTTTTTTCTCAAGGGAAAGTACACTACTTCACCAACCATATTCGTAACAGCAGAACATCACAGAGCACATCTGAGACACGATGCCGCCACTGTCTGGCTTGAAAATGCGTCCGCAAGATCCTTCAAGATTTGTATCCGAGAGCTTCAAAACTTTGCCGGAGTTCATGACGACATTTCCGTGGTAAGCTTATAATGGAAATCATGAGACAATAGATTGTTCTACACGGACATACTCACTTTCACCTACTGTACAATGTCATATTCTTTTCTTCCATTTTTACATTTGCATTTTCTCAAAGCCTGCAGTGCATCCATCGTAGTTTGAGGAGTAGTGAGACAGCGAGAGCACAATATTTCGTAATTCCTGCAGTCGCCCTTTTTTAATTTTAAAGAAGAGGAACATGGGGAAAGTATAGTGCTGCCTGTCACTATTGCATCTTTAGTTAGTGCACCACATCCTGAGCTACTTCTACTGTGCCGCTTCCGGGGGATACTACCTATAATGGCCTATACGGGGAGGCTAGCGCTCCGCCTGAAAGGAGTACCTTTTCCAGGCTTCTGGTATATGAAAGGATAGGGAAATCTGTAGACTTTCTAAAACTCCTTTATTTTTCTCCTGGTTGGTTCATCGCTCGCTCGGTCGGTGCGCAATCTCATGCATTGAAGCTCGCTTCGCTCATTTTTAATAACTTGTAAGAGGTCGACTTGTAGCAAGTCTAGGAAATCTGTCATTTCGGTCTGTAAAAAGGCCCAAAAGGGTTACCAGATGCGTTTTATGGCTGTGAAAAAGTCGAGAAAAAGTGCTGGTTTTGTAATTTATTCATATTTAAAAGTGGGACGTTCACAGGAATACAAAGTTCTAATCTAGAAACATGAAAGGGTTAACATTTGCCAATAAAAAGTACAGTCAAACCCTCTTTAATACGGGCACCAAAGGGACAGAACCAAGTGTCCGCTTTACAGAGGTAACCGTATTATAGAGGTAGGGATGGATGATTTTTGGAATTTCTGAGACCAAACGAACTGTCCTTAATGGAGAGTTGTCCGTAAGGAGAGGTTAGACTGTATACAAAAAGAGCTACCTTTTTTGTCAAAAATGGTAATATATAAAGGGGTAAAGGGTTGGGCGTTGGGGCGGGGCTCCACATACAAACTTTGTTGAGCAATCCCCGGGTGACCCCCGGTGCACTGCTCCCCCCACCCGTCTCTCTCCCTCTCTCCCTCTCTCTACCCACCGCCAGACATTTTTTAATTTCTTTTGTTGTTCCATTGCAGAACTGGATAGCGTTCGAATCGATTCATAGGCCCCTATTCTCAGAGCATAATGATATAAATTTTCCAAACGGGAATGTACTCTCGAAAAGCAATAATTTCGCTTTCTGCAAGGTATGTAACTAATCCCTCTCCCCGTAGCTAGAAAGCAAGACTACCAACGGGGATAAGTTTAGGAAAAACAAGTCTTTTCTTCAAAACAATTCGTAGAGACTCGAGCACTTAAAAGTTATACCCTTTTTTGATAATGTTTTGAATTGAAAAAAGGAGAGAGAATAAAGTTCGATGTTCATTCCATGTATTCAAACGTTTTTGAGAAAATACTAAAAGAAACAAAGTAACTTAAATGCGAGTAAAGTGTTTCTTTTATTTCTATGACAGGACGTGAGTTTCGTACGAAGTTACAACAATTTTCCAACAGTGCTGCTAACAGCCAAACATTCTAGCAGTGGAGGAAACGCGGCCCCAGAATGCAACGGAATTGTCAGCTGGGTTGAGGTCCATATTCTATAATTGCTACCACAGGCAGACCATCGTTTGAGTTATAGCCTGTGTCAACCAACACGCTCGGCTTGATTCAAGTGATCGGGCAGAAATACCGATTTTTGCAGCATTTTGAACCCCCAGTCAAAAGTTGAAATAATGTAAAAAAAAAAAAAAAAAGAAATGAAAGAAAGAATGGTGAATGATTTTTACTTACCGGTTGCTTTTAGTACCGTCTTCTGCGCGCCTTTTGGTGGCCAGTTTTGAGTCGCTTGAAATTAGCGCCCCGGATAACGTTTTTCGTTGTATTACGTATCTTGTCGGAGAGCCAACTTCAAACCAATGCAAACGACTCAAAACGCCACCTAAACCCAAAAGACCACACTAAAAGCAAAACATAAGTAAACTTTATTCATTCTTGAACATTATATCATCATTGGGGACCAAAGGGTACTACATTCTGCATTTTATTCTGATATGATTTCTCCCGATCATTTGAACCAATCCGAAAGCGGTCGTTACCAAATACAGTAAATCTCTGAGGTTATATATCTCGCATGGTGACAACACGCTACCTCGAGCAGTTCCGATCAGGCACGGTCTGCTTCCACTGCTATCTTAGACACCTTACATGTAGAATATCGCTACAAGCCATAGCGTGCATACTTATAATACAGACTGAGTAACTAAATGTATTACGTAACCAAACATTAACTACCTGCCCGGTTAGCTCTATTAGGAAAGCCCTTGACTGCTGACTGTGAGTTCGTGCACCCAATGCGTTGGTGTCTACAAGAGCTTGCTGTCTATAATTCGTATTATTCCCTTTAAGGGGGGGGGGGGGCATTGTCAGCAGGCTTGCCTGTTTACAGTCGCGCTCCTGCCTCAACGAAACGTACTAGTCTTACTCTAATAATATCTAATGAGTTGGTCGGGAAGTGATGCATTTTCAATCTCAGTCTCCTTTTGAATAACAATCTGCCCTTTTCTTGTCATGGAAAAAATACATTTATTTATGAAAACATTCCTTTCACAAACTTTTATCTTTTCCTTGACTTTAAGTTTATCAACAACTCTGGATTTCGAATTTGCGTCAAAGAACTCTTTGTTCAGCAGTTTGATCCACTGACTGTATCATATGCAGTATTGGCAGGTATAATGAGATCCATTGCATTCAGTATAACAAATAAATTTTGAATAAAAACTGCTCCTATATTGGCCAAGTATTACAGACAAAAGTAGTGAAGGTGTACTTTCTTTAGTAAGTTATGATGATTAAGTGTTATCCGGTAGCTATTGTACTTGACAATCGAAGTCAATATTAAAGCAGAATCATCATGTGAAAGCTAAGTCACGGTTAGAGGAATTATTTTGAATTCTTAATTTGTACTTAATGATTAAAATGAGGAAAAAATTTCCCTGGTTTGTGCTTTAAAACAACGAAAAACTGATACTATTTGACGTCCTTAATTGCAAAAATTTGTCGCCTTATAGGAATTAAAATGATACTTTCTGCCACTGCTTCATTTATTATGGTAATTAAACAAGGAGGGTGCAATTTGGTCTGAAATCATGTGCTTAATCTCAAAATGAACGAGCGAGTGAACACGAGTTCGATTTGAAATCACAAGACCGTATTGTTTCAGACCTAAATTGCACGACACGAGTTTGAATAACCACTGATTTTGAAATCAGGAAGTATTTGAATCCTGTATTGACGGTATTAAATTAGATTAAATTTATACAGGATTTTAGTCGGTACCAATATTTTATTAAACTAAACAGAAACTTGATGCGATTTAGAACCAAAAACGAAGTGGTATGGATCAGAACTGCTTTTTGAACATAAACGATGTGATTTAGTAAAGATTGTAATCATATTTAAAGTATGAAAAATAGTTTGATTAATTCGTGAATATCTCACACTGCTGATAGCCAATCAGACTGAAAGGATCCGAGGCAATTTCAAAATGGATATAATAAATTCGATTATTATTTTACAGACATATGTCCCAACGACTGGACCTACTTTGAAGGATACTGTTACAGAAAAGTGTCTTCCTGTGATTCGTGGAACGGTAGTCAAGGAAAATGTTCCGTTCTGGGTGCTAATCTTCCCAGTATCCACAATCAGGAAGAAAATGTCTATGTTCAAAACCTCCATGGTGGGGAGAATTCTTGGTTGGGCCTCACTGATATCAACTCTGAAGGAACGTTTGTGTGGAGTGATGGAACTTCTTTTAATTTCCATTACTGGGCAAGCCACCAACCAAACAACTTCAAAAATGAAGACTGTGTCCATACCCTTGGGTTTCTTCGTGGTCATGAGTACAAGTGGAATGATGTCAATTGCTCTGACTGTCACAAGTTCACTTGCAAAAAAGGTACTCCCTTAACTATGTAGCAAATTCGGGAAAAGAACTCATGCAGAAATAAAGTTAAGGACAATTTAATGCTACTATAAACAGCCAAGCAATTCCTGAACAAAACAACTTTATCGACCAAAAATGTTGTGCAGCTGCAAACTGTAAGAATCGATTGGAAGTAAATGACCAATCAGGTCGATTTTCATTTCGGCCATTACAGTTCGCATCTCTGACCTAAAGCGTTTATGTTCCTCCTAAAATTGATTGCCTTGAATTTTTCCGTATTCCATTTTTGCTTTCTTCGTCCATCTTTATGCGTTTTCATAGCCGGAATAGATCAAGAAAGGACTAATTGGGGTTTACTTACAGTGTGCATGCAAATTCTTTTCCTTTTTCTTTTTTTTTTTTTTTTTTTTTTTTTTTTTGGAATCGGTGTACCTAGTATCGAGGATTCCCGCAACTAAGATTTTCATAACAACCACTAAGATTTAATTTTTTTTATGAAAAATTATTTAAGAATTTTTTTTTTTAGTGTTTTATTTTTTAATTTGTTTTAATTATAATTCTAAACGTGCACAAGGCTTTTTCCACTACTGTCCAGTTAACCCCCCTTGTCTGAACAATTGTGGTTCATTTTTAGTGTTTTTTCTATTTTGTTTTTTATTTTTTTTTCTTTTTTTTTTTTTTTTTTTTTTTTTTTTTCTTTTATGGAATCGGTGTACCTAGTATCGATGATTCACGCAACTAAGATTATCATAACAACCACTAAGAGTTAGATTACTTACTGAAAGATTATTTCAGAATCTTTTATTTTAGTGCTATATACTTTAAATTGATTCAATTCAGATTATAACGAGTGCCAAGGCTTTTCCCACGACTGTCCAGTGAACGCCACCTGTGTGAACAATGATGGTTCTTACACCTGTCGATGCCCCTCTGGATATCGCCTTAGTGGAAAGAACTGTACAGGTGAGTAGCTTTAAATACCTTAAATATCTGTTCGATGAAAATGACAAAACCAGCAAATTAAGAAACGATGCAGTTTCAGAAATTCTGACATTGTAAAGCAATTAAGTTTACCATTAATGAGTAGAGAATGACAGCGCCCTAGATATGTCCTTATATTTGAAATTCAGTCGTCCTCAAAGAAGACTTCTCAATTTATTCATCAGAGATTACATATCCGTAGAAGACGCGTGACCTGAGTCAACTTTCAGTTACTGGCATTTATTCTAGAAGGTATTTGAAACAAGGAAACTTCAATTTGTTTGGCCTCCGGAGACTCCTGCTACGAGTTATCGCGGTTAAGAGCCGGTCAAAGGACGGTTGTGATTGTAGCCTCTGAGGGCACGTTAGCAGGGGGTTGCAATGATGATTCCTTGAATGTGATTAGCTACTAAATCGCGCGCTTTCCAGCAGTTCCGATTTTTTCATCCGCACCCGAATAAGTGCATCACCGATAATTAAAGTGGAGTGAAATTTATAATGGTAATTAAACCCCCAGTGAGCATCATTGGAGTGCAATTTGGTCGGAAATCATACGCGTGATTTGAAAATTGGACGAGCACGTAGCGCGAGTTCGATTAATTGAAATCATCACATACTTAGATTTCGGACCAAAATTGCACGACGCAAAGTTCAATTACCACTTCAATTAGAACCATTTAGAATTCGTAGAATTCAGCCAGTACCAATATTTCATTGATCAAGTAGCTGGTTTGCAGAAAGGCGGATACAAAAGCGCTTTTAAATCTCATTTTGTATTAGAAACAGAAATGATGCGATATCGAGCAAAAATCAGGTGCGATTTAAGATAGAGATGATACGATTTAGAACAGATGAGATTTACAGTAAAAAATAGTGTGATTCGTGAATAAATCACACTGCTGAGATTTCACATGATATACCCGCGATTTCAAGATTTAACTGAACAAGCGCGCAGCCCGGGTTTGATTTGAAATCACAAGTATAATAATTTCTAACCGAAATTGTCCTCCACCAAGAGAGCTTTATCCTCTCTTGTCTCCACTCAGTTATTTGAAAATGGACGCAATAAGATAGTAGTATAACTGCCACTTTGAGATTTTTACACTTCCTTTTAGCTCATTTTCGAGTCCTTTTAACCGGCGGCTCGGTAGAGTGTCTTCAATTTCTCCTAGTTTACTTATTTTGTATCCACAAATTATGATATGTGGACTTTGAGTAGTTTAAAGGTACCTGAATGCCGCGGTATTATTCATTTTTAGCAGACTCCATGCGTTTTAAAGCAGCGCGATCTTAAAAAGCCGCTGTTTTCGGCCTATGAATCCGTCCAAATTCTGGCCTCGAATGGCGGAAGTCGTTTTGGCGTGTAGCAAAAAAGAAAAGCAAGAAATCTAGCAAACTAGCCCGGTTTTATTGCATGTACACCAAATACTTTTCGTCTACAGAATATAAAGGCGAACTCTTTTCCGACCATAAAATCGTCAGACCGGTCTTAAGGAAACTGCCATTAAGCAAAGCTCTTGAAACGTGTTTGTATAATGAGATTATTTTGGTAAATTGCGCAGTTTTAATAGGAAAAAAAAAAGGAATAGGAATATTCTAAATTACTTGGCTGCCTAAGTCGGTCCTCATAGGAAAAAAACTGTGTTATCACCAGTATTTGCGACTATTGCCTTATAAACTGCTTCCGAGTAAAACTGCTGCTGTCAAAATACTATACAATTAAAAAAAGCTTATTATGCCACATCCTTGGCAGCGAGGACTCGGATGCAAAACTTCCTGAGAGCAATTCTTCCTCAAACCATTTTCTTATGCAGATGTGAACGAGTGTCAAACAGGATCATACTCTTGCCATGCTCAGGGTCAGTGTGTCAATGTTCCTGGCTCCTACTCTTGCAAATGTTTACCAGGCTACACGGGCGACGGAAAAAGCAAATGTGAAGGTACATTTTTCCAGAATTTAATAAGTATAAAAGACTGCTATATTCAAAATGCCAATGTATTTCAGGGACTGGCCATAAGTATAGGGGGATGTGCCGGGGACAGAGAGAGGTGATCGGTCATCAGTCTTTGCATCCTGTGCAAGGAGTGGGTCGATCAATTTTCAGCTAACCTCAGGAGGTGCGCATATCTAATTAGCGGGACTAATGAGATAGATGACCACAGTAACATGACATAAAACAAAGTAATCTAAAATTGTTGCTTTGAAATTTTTTTAAACATCCTGGGTCTTTTTTAAAAGGCAATTTTAATGCAATTAAACCGGTATGATGTTTGGTTTTTACCTTTCATTGCTGTTTGATATCCTACTAACTTAACGTCTCGGACGTACAATCGGGGGAGGGGGGCGGGGGTGGCTGCCAACCCCCTTTGTTGGTTTGTTTTATACGCCCCTTGGGGCGTACAAAACAATCCAAGTACGCGACTGATAAGCCACGAGAACTACCTCATAACGCTAAAAGCCATGCAAGAGAAAAACCTCTGCCTGCAGGGTAATCATTACATTAACAAGAACGGAGAACATTTTATATTTTTTGCTTATTTGTTTACTTTAGTTTTGTGATAGAGAAAAAAGGAGTAAGTAGGCCCTCACTACCTTGATCTCATTTAATATGCGTGTGCTTGTTCATTCTCTTTCCTCTCTAGCTGGTAGACTAGATTTTCCAGTAATATTGACCAGTCGCAACACACATGATGTCTCCAGAGGAGACGGGGAAACCATTTTCATTTTCTGCGTGCGCATCCCATAGGCAGCCGAAGCTCATAATGATTTTGTGTAGTCTTCAAATAGCTAAAATCTCTCCTCATAAAGCAAACAAAACAAACCAAATAAGTAAGGTAAAGTGTCCTTTATTGAAAATTCCAGCGATTATTTATCTAAAAAATGAAGGATTTGTATTGGAATCCAGGTATTAGAGAGAAGTGTGACGTCACTTTACTATGGTACCAAAATTTCTGGATCAAAACAATAGGGAGCTTAAGCAACGACGATAGAGACGGCAATGAGAAAATCATTATAGCAATAGGCTTAGATTAGAAAAACAACAATTTTGCATGTGCATTACGTATACTTTTTGTTTTACATTCGTTAGCCGTCGTTACACGACTGCGACATGAAGCTTCTAATTTCACGCGCCTGCTTTATGGAGTAGATAAACACGACACAAAATTTTCTTCTTCGTTTTCTAAACTTAGATACTGTCCTTTCGAATTCAACGCCAGAACGTTTTGCCAATATTTTACAAAGTCGATGAAATTCGAAAAGATCGGTGATTTTGAAACAGTGTGAATTCACTTTTAAAGTGACGTTTCTGGTTTGATGTCATCCAGAAATTTTACTAACATGGCAACGTGACGTAACGACTTTTCCAGTCTATAAACTCAATAAGTTTAATACTCGCTGGAATTTCCAATAAAAAAACATTTAACCTTGATTACTTGCTTTGCTCTTGCTTGCTGTGTGGTTATTTTTCCGATCCGCTTCGATTTAAACGATTTCCTTTACCCGAGTTTTCCGACTACTAAAGAGAGGACTCGATCCTCTCCTCATACAACAAGCAAGAACAAACCAAATGAATAAGGTAAACCGTCCTTTATTGAAAATTCCAGCGATTATTTATCTTCTTTAATGCTCTTAACCCATAACCCCTTAGATAAAGCAAGTAACTAGACCAGAATTATTATGGGGAAAAAAGGGGTAAGGGATGAAGTACTCCAAATATGGATAGCAGGTCACTTTTGTCTACATATTGGTGTAACAGTCTGAAATCTACAAGGGGAGAGGTGATAATCCTCTCTAGGGAGTGATAATCCCCCAGGATAGTGAGAGGCGATAATCCTCTCTTGGGGGTGATAATCCCCCAGGATAGTGAGAAGCTAGGTGATAATCCTCTCTAGGGGTTGATAATCCCCCAAGGTTGTGAGTGGAGGTGATAATCCCCCTTGGGTACTGGAGAGGTGGAAAGACCTCTCTAGATGTCTAATTCCCCGGTTTAAGGAGTAACAAGAGTCTATGGGGCAAAGTGTGACCTGTATGGGAGCACTTCATCCCNGATGTCTAATTCCCCGGTTTAAGGAGTAACAAGAGTCTATGGGGCAAAGTGTGACCTGTATGGGAGCACTTCATCCCGAACCCATGTTTATTAATTGCCAACGACTCTCAATACAGATATCATCACTAATTTAAGCTAGGATTGCGTGCCTGCTGCCCGTCATTATTTTTGAGGGAAACCTGAACCCTCCCGAAAGCAGAGCCAGACACTTAACATGAACCTCGAGGGAGAGAGGTTAGACGAAAATATATTAATAGAAGTTGTAAGTAAATGACAATTAAACTTTTATCAACTTAATAATCAAAATAAGGCCCAAAGTAACTAAGAGCACAAGCATGTTAGGATGCCAGGTACGATGATTCCCCTCAGTAGAAACCCCACCTCTTTTCTACCATATCTTCTTGACAATAGCCAATTGATTCACAGTGTAAACAACAAAGATCAGTAGTTTGTATGACTGCAAAAAGTATAAGCAGCTTCTTAGATTTCTCAACAAGAAAAAAGACCTCATATATAAAAGCTTAAGAAAACCAGCAGAGAGAATCAAGCAGTAATAAGGGAGGGTGGGATGGGATTTTGTTCCACGAAGAGAAGAATATGAAGGGCTATTTTGCTGAGCTACTAGGTGCGAAAATGTAGGCATCAACTGTACATGTGATAGCTGGCATCTAATTGGTTGAGCAAAACAATTAGTGTGACAGGGGTCACGTGCAGGAAGTGACCCCTGAAAGGAAGTGAGGTGATTCCACTACTGGTAAGGGCGGGTTTATGGTTATCACATTAACTCCAATTTATCCTGTTGTATAAATTAGCTTAAATCTATTACCTGAATTTCCAAACAAATCCTTACTGTTCATGGCTATTTTGGGGATTAAGCAATATGATACCACACGTATTAACGATTTAACTCTCATTCTGAGCTTGGGTGCCTGTGGTCATCC